AAACAGGCCTACTGAACAGGGGCACTCTCAGGCTTTTCCTTTTCTAACCTAAAATGTTTTGTGGTACCATTGTGTCAGGACACTAACCGCACATCTTCAGAAAAGTGAAACTTTGCCTCGACCTTCTGCAGGGATTTAGAACTTCCAACTGCACCCTGCAATAGCCTTTCTGCAAACTGAACAGTATGCCAGTTTCTTCTTTTCTTCCAGGGATATTGATGTTAAGAAGCATGACGACTAAACTGTAGCAGCAGTTGGAGCCTACATCGAAGTTAGTTTGGGAAAGTTTACTTGGTGTTCATTTTGCTGCTAAGAGTTTCTATTCTTTACATTAGGATTGTTTCTGGGCATGCAGAAAATGGTCACCACACTTCCTTCCCATAGTAAACGTAACTGTCGCGTTCCTTGTTTGCCAGGAAAGAAGATACTGTTAGGATATCAGTACTGCAAAAATATTACTGTTCTTCTGATGATCTAAATTTTCTAGTTAACTGCTGAATGGCTGTGGTCTTTATGAATTTCCTGGTTTTAAGCGCTTTCGGAGTTTGAAAGAGGAGGTGGTGGGGAAAGAACAGAACAAAAGATATTAGACTTTCTCTGTACCTGGCAAACCTATCTGACAGTCATGTCAAATTTGGCCTCATAGTTACATACATATTAATGTCTGGGTGTTTATACACTTTCTTATATGTTGCTAAAGTTAAGATAGCCAAAAAGTAACTCAAAGCAAGACACATACTAAGCAATTTGGATTATTCTTGATTTGATTCTATAATGACATGCAAAGAAACCAACTCTGTAAGATATGGAACACATGTGAGTCTTTCCTGAAGGTCAGAATATCACTCCAAATATGTATCTGTAAGCTGTTACATTTTAAAATGCAAATTATTCTTAAAACAAAATTGCTAAATTATTTATTTGTATTTCTACCTTTTTCCTGTTTAAAAATACTTATTCTTTCCCATTTTTGTCTAGACACTAGGAATCCTCTATACTTGTGTTTAACTGTGTTGATGCTGGAAGAAATGTGCAAACTAGAGTTAGTCCTGCAACAAGGAACCAATGATTTATATGTCCTAAGACTCTCGTCCCTGGGTGGGAGGAGTTGTGTTGTTGCTTTTGCATTTTTGGCTGATAAGGGTTGAGTATTTTTAGACCAGTGATTGAATCAGAACCAGATATTCTCATATTATTTGTGTGTTCTTGAGTCAGAATATTAAGAATGGTTTTGTGTTTCATAATAACGTTAGCACTGTTCATTGAAAACAACGGTGAAGTTTCCAAAGGGCCTCATGTTTTAAGTGATACATTTTAAATAACTTTGAAACACGATTACATCTGTAAGTATACATTTGGAAATGCACAGTGTGTGTTTAGGCACTACTTATTCAGATATATATTTTTTTTTTTTTTAGTTCTTTGACATCTTTCTTCCTCTCTGTCCTAGATATGCTAGTTCTGCCATTGACCGTCAAGGAAGCACATCAATGAGGAAGGTAATGGTTTATAAATGTACATTAAAAAAAAACCCAACCAAACAAAAAACTCCTCAATAGTTCAATTCATTGTCATATTTTTAAAAGACACTTGAAATATCAGAAACCTTGACATTTGTCTATATTATGAAACATCTGAAAATAAAAGGCTAGGAATAATTTCCGTATTCAGAAAAGTAGCTACTGCAACCACAGCAGGTCAGTGTGTATGCAGTACTTTTAGTGAAGTTGAATAGTATTAATACTATGTTAGGGAGATAGGGGATTAAGATTTTCAAAGATTTTTGTGGTGCCAATTTTGAAGGTCTTCAATAGAAAATATCTGGACTTTTTTTTTTATTTTTTAGTATTTTGATAAATATTTCATACAACGGACAAACAACAGAACCTTCATTTACAGAATGCCTATTTCTTCATTCCAACTTCGCACTTTTTTCACTAAGTAGGTGCTAAATAACTTAAGTTGCCAGATGTCATTCTGCCTCCCAAATATTTACAAAGTGAGGCTAAAGACCTGTGACAATAGTGGAAGATACATGACTAGATTTTCTGCAATTTGTGAAAACCTGCAGTTGTGTTTGTTGATATGCTGCCTCTATCTGCCATCCCTTACCTTGCCTGCTGCCTCCACTGGAAAACACTTGGACCTGTAGCTGTTCCCAGGGATCCTGGTACTGCAAATAATCTAATGCATATGTGAGGAAATCAGCACTCTGTCCCTATGATTTGCGTACTTTGCTGTTGAATGCACTGATGGCTGTGTTTGTAACTTGTTAATGGTTTTCCTTAAAAACTCCTCAGGTTCAAAATAGTAGAGATACATTCAGCCAGGTTTCCATTAATAGGCTTGGTTCCCTTCATCCTGGCAGGTAACTGAATCTCTAGTCTCTAGGGCATTTTTTAAACACAGCATAGCTTTTCATTTGGTGATTCTGTGACAGCACTCCTACTACTACACTGTGATTATGTTGAGGTCTATTAATTTAGCTTCATATAGGACAGATTCAATTCTGTCACTTTTTTTTTTTTTTTTCTTTTCCATGCTGTGCTTCTTGTTGGGCTGGCGTGGGAGGGTGTACGTTTTGGTTAACATTCTACTTTGTGTTGTGGTTTTGAGATGAGAACTTAAATGCTGACAACCACAGTATCTTCTCACATCATCTGTCTGTTTCCCATAGCAACTCTGTGTCATTTGAAGTTGCAAGTTCTGACTGTTTTCTTACAGTGTTTACCACAAAGTTAATTATATAGTAGTTCCTTTATCTCTCAGAATATGAAGCTTGAATTTTGTAAGTTAGCAGTGCTAATTAACTACTGATTCCCAAGTATTGCAAACCTTTCACTTTCTCCAGTTTTGTTGCTTAGAATACATTGTATGCGTGTGTAAACAAAGCATAGTAAAACTAATTAACTTTTGTTTTTAGAAGAGCTAATATTTTCAGCTCTCCTTGATTTTTTTGTGCTTGTATTTTCATTATTTTTAAAACTTTTAATTTGAATGATGCATACCAGTTTCTGGTGACTATCCTAATACGTATATCCTACAGTTTTTCCATTTTTCTTTCAGTTCTTTAAATTTAATCACATACAAAAAGTGTAATTTAATTATAGGGGTTTATTTCATCACTATATTTTTTAGCCTACATTGAGAACAAATTTAGTGATCTCTGTTTCAGAAACAGACGCCTGCTCTGTCCTAATGCATTTTTATACAGAGAGAAGAACATTGAACGGATTGTTTCAGTCACAGTCACCACAGAACTCCAGTTGGCACAATATGACTGACCAGTACTGTGGCTAACAATACATCAATTAAAAAAAAACAATGTTGCTGTGCATGTTTAATACTTTCTTACAGACCTGCTTTTGGGTTTTCATTTCCTGACCTTTTATTTATTACATTTCCTGTAGCACAGGAGCAAGCATTAATCTTCGTCTTCTCTAGTGCTCAAAACAAAGAGATAAATTTGCAGCTGTCACGTAAATGGAGAATGTGTACTGTCTTACGGTGATACAATGCATATACACCTACAGAGCTTGTCACCTGTCAGAATTACAATATTTTTGTGAAGCATTCATATACTGTGACTGACTGGGAGAACAGTCTGAGATAAACAGAACACAGAAAGCTGATGTTCTCTGAGCCAGGCCTCGGGAGTCAAGAACTGCTGATTTCTGCTAGTCACTAGAAAATGTTCATGCTGTTCAACGCTGTAAACTGGCTAAATTGCAGAAGGAGTTACAAATAGGTCTGTGCATGTGTAAAACAACTCCACCCTCCTCCACTTTTATTTACAAGAAAACTTTGCCTCTCCAATAGTTGGAGTCCTGTTTACAGCTGCTGCTTTTCTATGGTGTCTAAGCTGTAATCTTTCATTATCCTAGACATTAATTTAAATATTTTTATCTAAATTATAATCTTCGCTTATTTTAAATTTCAATATTGCGAAATTTAAGCACTTATTTAATATGTTGTACCACAGTTATTAATATGGACTTTTGTAGCATGTGTTTGCTTTTTGAGTGCATGCGGAGGAGCTGCCTAAGGTAGGGTAAGCAGTCAGATGATCTCTGGCAGAAGGTAATTATCTCTAGTTGTACCACTAGTTAAGGTAGCATGGAGATATCCCTATCAGTGACTGAGGCGCCTTTCTTCTAGGCCCTCTACTGAGCTGAGTATTATCTCTGACAAAGGAAAACTGAAGCAAATTAAAAAGATGGCCCTTTCTATGCTACCCTTTGCCTGGATCTGCTGTTTTTTCTACTGGTAATGGCAGCATCAGTTACCAATCAGGCAGCCCCTTCGTCATGTTGACCTGTAACTTTCCCCCTAGCATTTACATGCTTGAGGTACATCCTTACCATCTTTTGAGTAGTATGCCTATTTTTAAATAATGAGATGCTTTTAGGTTTTTCATAACAACCTGTAACGATTTTATAACGCAGCCACAAAAGAAAGAATTTATTGTTTTCTCCTCAGAGTTATTTCATCAACCTACCAACCTAACAAACTTCATTGTTTCCTGTGGTTGGACATAATTAAAGAACATGACCTCAACATGTCATTGCACACATCACTTTATACATAAACTGTATAATGTTTGTGGTGGATACTTTTTTGAACGAATATTTGTCTAACTATCTCATGTATACCTACAACAAAGTATCATTCATTTTATTAGGTCATTCGTATGAGTTTATAGCCTTAGTTTTCAAACTATGGTATAACCATTCATGCAAGGAATCCTTAATGAATTGATTGCAATTGTAATTAACAACTGAAAAAAGGGGGATTTTAATTTGCAGATTTAGCAGTGTTGTTTTATTTATTTTATTTATAACAGTAGTAAGAGAAAAATGACAAAAATGCGATCCTATGATAGCTGATCCTCTGATAACTAACCCTAGGATAACCTTGGAGATGGTATTTAATGCCAGCTGTTTCATGTGACTACTATTACCTGCATTGTTTTTTCCTAATTATTTTCTTTTTCTTTACAGTCATTCCATTACGCTTCCCTCAGGGTAAAAAGCAGAAAATGGTCAAAAGGTAACTTATTTGAGTTAACATTTTGAAAATAGAAAATGAGACTTCTTCTCAGATAATAAGTGATCTGTTTCAAATGCCAAAGTTCAATTTAATTCAAATATTTCTAAATTTGATAGTAAACACCAAAGTAAAACATCAAATTAAAATACCAAATAAATGTGTTATAAGGTATAATATTGCTAGTCTTAGTGGTAAAATTTTGTCTGACTTAAGTAAAAGAAAGGTAGTATCTGTATATTTTGCCATTTCCTTCTGCTCTCTTTATCTATTCATGGCCTATTTGAGACTGTTAAAACAATGAAGATTGTTACAGCATAATAAATTCATATGAAAGTATATGGTCAGTGAGCTCTGCTCTTTTTACTCTATTTGTTGGTTTAGTCTCCTTTCCATGCAAATTTTCCTTTTATTGTACTATGCATTTTTAATCCTTCTAAACCTGACCAGGACACAGCAGAGTATCTTATTCTAAAAAGAGAAAAATGTTAAGAACTTGGGTGTGGAACGTTGCAGAAAAAGGATGGTGTTTTGATGTTATCTAAATTTCTTCATTGTTTTGCAGCTGTAGGACAAACATAATTCTTTTAGCAATATAAACTCAATTTTTTCATAGAAAAATGTCTCATTTTAAGGAAATTTCCTCCAGAGTCTTTTTCAGGAAAAATGATACCATAATGAAGAAAAAAACTGTTCTTATTGATATTCACAAGGCACACTAAAATTTTAAGCCCTTCAATTAGGATCTATTGAAATAGTGACACAAAAAACCCTTTTCCTGGTGCTGTACCTTTAAACATGATGCAGTAAAGTTAAATTATTTTCAGTTAAATTCGGGATAGAAGAAATGTAAGCATATGCATTTTTATGGAAGGGGATGATCTTTCTTTTTTATTGACTATAAATATTGACTATAAAAATTGAGTTAAAAAACTCACAGAATTTGACAGGCCTTCTATTGCTAAAAGTAGTAACAGAAGATAAAGGAAGAATTAGTGTTTACATCTGTATACAGATAATATCATACTCCGAGTTTCAGACTGAGGGCTAAACGAATACAGTTTTACCTTGGAATGATGATGTTGATATTAATCAGATAAAAAGGCAGCTCTAAGAGGAATGAACCCTCTGGAGATTAAATAATCCATTACATAAAACAGGCCCTTTTTTTTTTTTTTGTATCCATGCTGAAACCAAAAGTGCAGAGCATTGTCGAATTTGGAAATTGTTCATTCAGTCTCCTCTCCCTGAAACTGGAGAGAATTTGGTTTGAAGGTTTTTTAATTGAATCATCATTAAAAATTAGTAGTGTGTTTGTATCGAGAAGAATAGTTCTTCTACTCTTTCATTCAGTGAGACATCTCACACTATTGTCGTGTTCTCAGGGAGCTCTCTAACAAGTGGGAGCAGAAGACGGATTTCGTGCAAAGACTTAGGCCACGGAGATTGTGAAGGTTGGCTATGGAAGAAAAAGGATGCCAAAGGTTATTTCACACAGAAATGGAAAAAGTACTGGTTTATTCTGAAGGATTCGTCCTTGTACTGGTACACAAACCAGAATGTAAGTACAGTCTATGTTTGGAGAAAGCCAAAATTAAACTTTAAACTTATAATTCTTTTGAATAAAGTCTATTTTTACTACATGGTAGGATACGTTAGTGAATTGCCACTTTAATTGCCGGGTCTGGGTCACTCTAGCTGGAAATATTTCAACGGAAGTTATTTTTTTAAGTCCCCAAAGTCCATGTCCAAGCTTAATAAAATAGCAGATGCTCATGGCACTCTTAAAGAAATAAATAAGCCAGTAGTTAATACTTTTCCACAGATACTGTTTATGTGGCCTAACTATGTGCTGACATGCAGCTGTCCTTAGTTTCAGTTGTGTGGGGAGATGTATACAGCATAACCATCATGTTAGTTAAGCATTATGCGAAGCAGATGTGAAAACCTGGATTTGTAGATCTCTTTATCTGAAAGTTATTCTTATATAGATGTTCCTCTTGCTTTTTGCTGAATTAGTCTGGAGTTTGCAGTTTCTGATGTGTAAAACGCTGTTCTTGGCAAAATGTCATTGAAAATAACTGGGCCTACGCTTGTGCAATCGGCATATATGTAGGAAAAAATAATGGAGGGGAGAAGCCAAAAATCGTTAGATTGCTATTCTTCCATTGGTATGCACTGAGCCTCAGTGCCTGATCTAAACTGCCTGCATACAGCCTGCTTTGGTTACTGATATTTTAGAACATATTTGCTATTCAAAAGGAAAATTTTATGAGCATAATTATCCTCAGTTTTAGTATTTTCTTGTCAGCCCAAAACAGTATTGTTTCAGGCTGTGGATGATAAATGCCTTCAGGTTTTGTGTTGTATGTTTTGTTTGTTTGACACAGTTACATGCAAGGTGGTAGTCATTATGTGTCCCGCTGATTTTCAGTCTGTTGTTTACAGCCAAGCCATAATTCATAGTGCACTTGCTAGTACTTTTCAAAAATATGACTTGTGTTGATATGTCTCCGTGCTTTTCCTGGTAAATCTCTTCAAAAGAAGCAAAAAGTGACAAGAGATACTTTCTAGTAATTACTTTTCCATTTAATCACTGGTGAGCTCGCTGTAGGAACCTCCTCAGTTATTATTAGCAGGGCAGATGGTCTGCATGATCATGACTTTAAAAGGAGGCACCCACAAAACAGTTTTAAAATGTAGACTATATGATGAAGAAACTGGGAATTCTTTTCTGTAGTTGATGTCTTGAATGCTAGTTTAGGTGCTGTATTTGGTGCTGAAAGGTTTTCTGCAATCTTCAGCGTAGGGGAATTAGGATCACTGCAGCTCCTTTAAGAAACTGTCGTTTTAGTTACTTCATAAAAGTTATTGACATTGTATGATGAACTAAATACTTTTTTTTTTTTTTAAGTAAAAACAGTATGAGGAAAACACATTCAGTATTTCAATTGATTGGATTGTTGTTCTTAGTGTAAAACCTAAATGGCTAGTGCTCACTTCTCTCTTCTTTATGTTCTTCTTCACCATCACTTTCTCTGCTCTTTTGATAGGATGAAAAAGCAGAAGGATTCATTAGTTTACCTGAGTTCAGAATAGACAGAGCAATTGAATGCAGAAGAAAACAGTAAGTAATGTGTCAACTATGTTTATAAATTAAGGGATCGCTCTTGGAAGTATACTGGATATAGTACTGAAAATTTGCAAAGCCCAGAGAAGGAAGTTACACAGAAACCTTGAACTCTGTAAATAATACATAATAGATCCACTTAAGCTTTAGTGTTTCTCTTTATTATAAAAGATACAACTTAATGTAAATTCCGTAACTCTTTGGCCAGCTTTCCAGACAGCCCAGTTACAACTTCAGTTAAACAAGTAAAGCAAAAAATAAGAAATACATTAGCCAAGAGATAAAACTTTCTTAGATTCAGTATGGTCATCTTGATAAATAGCAAAAGTGCCAGAAACAATTACCATAGGAAATGCCATTTAAAATATCATAGCAAGGGATGGCAAATATAATCGCCATTTTTTAACTTAATGGAGGAAGCTTGCTTACCCAATATTGTGTTATTCTCAACTGCTAAAATAGGTTCCATATGCAAAATGAACTTTGCATTATTGCTTGTGTGCATATTGCTCCTACTGCATTATGCTCCCAGTAAAAAGCATATGCTAAGCTTTGTCACCCTTAAGGCATGTTTAATAACAGACACTCATTGGAAGTTGTTTCCAAGCAGCGTTGGGACTGGAGTGCATAACTGTCGAACAGCAGGTTTAACAGAACACTTCTAATGCTTTGAGATGAGCACTTGGCCAGTATCTCCTGAATTACTTGCATGTGTCTTCTGTATGCCGCATCCGGGTTTTTAAAACTTGCTGCCATGAGGAGCTAGATAGAATAGCATTAAAGATACTCTCATACTAAAGCTTCCCTAGTTATAACTAAGCATCCTGAGTTTTTGTTGTGCTTTTCCAATGACTAAATGCACTTTTGGTCTGAGGATACAAGTCCTACAACTATGATCACGTATGCAATAAAAGTACTGAAGATATTAATTACAATACAGACTACTCATCAGATAATCAAGCCTCTTCAATTGCTTGTTCTTCTCAGGAGGTATTATTACTGTCTGTCTGAGAATTAGAAGATGGTGAATTTGTACTTCTATTACTCCTTTCAGCTGAGGGTATCACTATAGAAATTAAACATGAACTGAACACTGTAAGTTCCTCTAAGAAATGATTAGATATTATTAAGATATTGAACAAAATACAGGGAAAATAATGCTCTTTTGTTAGAATATAAAACAGTTAACAAATTTCATTGAATTAGCCAAGATCAAACAGAAGGTCATTGTGCACAGCTAGAAACAGCTTCCAGAGCTTTGCTCTAAGCATTAGAACACACTTCCTCAGAACACTTCTTAGAGAACAATTTCTGTAGGGTATATGCACAGGAAAAAGTCCGACTAACTAAAACTTCATGCACTGCTGAAAACTGAGTACCTTCAGGCTTTGAATCCTTTCAGAAAGAGGTGGATCCAGGGGTAAAAGTGTAATGAAGACGTTAATAGTATTCCCTTTGTTTGCTGAGCTGAATTTCCCTTTGATTTCTTCCTTCATGCACTATCATGTATATGTTTCTCCCATCATAAAAACTACACCTTACATTTATCACTATTTTACGTGCTCCTCTGAAAACTGCAGAGAAAGTAAATGCAGTGTTACACTCACTCACATTTCAGTGTATCCAGCATATGTGAATGGAGGACCCTGCTTGTGTTGCACCCAGCTCTAATCCACAGCCCCTATAGAGGCTATAGAGCACACTTCTAAAGCATTTAGCTATCCTCTTCTATGTTGTGTGACTGAGCATGATTGCTGTCGCCTGACTCCACTGAAAAGCTAATGGTTCTGGTGAGCCCAGGGACAACTTCCTGTGGTTTGATTCTTCTGCATTCCTTTTACAAATAAAATTAAGGTGCTGGTGACTCATTTTGACCCAGCATATTCTAGAAAAATTCTCACACTTCATTATTCTATCTGCTAGACTAGAAGGAAACATTTCAGTTAGGATTTTCTTGCCTCCTTTTCAGAGAGTTAGGGAAAGATTTTATAGGGTCCATTCTTGCTTCTTTCCAATTTAGGATATCTTTTTCATTTGATAGAGGGTTTTTAGTAGGTGCTGGAATGTAACCTAAAATTCATTGCAAGCTTGAAACCTGAAAATACAAATCTGGTTGCGTTCTTACTCATTTCTAGATGATTGAGTCCATTTTAACATTAATGCAATAGCTAGTAAAGCAGTTACCTTGTCAGTTAATAAGGACAGGGGAGAAAAACCTAGTTCTTTCCTTTCTTTTCTTTTTGGTAGGTTCATTTGCTTCTAAATTAAAATTGCCTGAAAAGTATGCTTAGTATTTTAGTGCATAAAGAGGTCCAGCTAAAATCACCATTAGTTTTCTTTCAGCTCTTTTAAAAGAAAAACTAAGAACATTTTGGTATTCAGCTTGGATTTCTCCTCAAATTTCTGTTATTTTCAGAGCCATCAATGTGAAATGCTCAAACTTTATTGAACAAAAGTATTTGAAGTCTTACTAGAATAATGAATAGATTTGTCTTTTCCACTGTTCTGTCAGGCAGAAAATGCTGTTTTATAGAATGACTGTTACTGATGTCCATAGTACACACTGAATGAAATAGCCTTAAGAAAGCTTTCACAAGAATATGTATTAATTGAATGCATTATTCTGTATGGTTTGATGGTTTGCCTCACTAATGCATTTAATGAAGGTACCCTGATTATTATACGAATCATGGCATTATCTCAGACTGCTGTAGCTCTCCAGGCTGTATTTGGATGTAGAATGACCTTGTCCCTGTGAGAGGAGGTTTCTTGCATTGACAGTGAAAAACTTCCCATTGCTCTTAGCAACACCTGCATCTTCATGATTAAAAATGATCATACTGTATTAGGAATCTTAGTTATTTAAGTTTTTGTATGATGTGGCATGACATGAATATCATGTTGTTTTCAAAGATACTTATAATGCCCCTGATGAAGCTGGTCCACAAGACTAAAGATTAATTAGTTGAAGACTGTTAACTAGTGCTTTGCCTGAACTTTCAAAAATCTCCACCTAGTGAAAATTTTCATTGCATAATTAATGCAAATGTAGGTCTTAAATTTATGACAGCATATGCCATACTGTTGGCACTTCATATTGAAACTATCCAGTCAGAATTCTATATAAAAGGTCATGGATATAGTATAGGTAGACATGAAGCTGTGTCTTAAAAGGTGCTACAGTTTCAGGGGGTTTTATTGCCTCTGAAATGGACTTGACAGTCTTGGTAGACAGCAAACCAAATTTGAGCCACCAGTGGGCCCCTGCAGGAAAGAAGGCTAACAGCTTCCTGGCCTGTGTTAACTGGAGTGCAGCCAATAGATGAAGGAGAAGATTATTCTCTTTTACTTGATACTCACTACAGCACATCTAGATTACTGCATCCAGTTTGGGGCCCTCCAAAACAAACCAAAAGTAAAAATATACGTATAGTTCTTCTGCATTATTCATATTCTTCTATACATCTAGAGTTATTTACCTGGAGATTTTTCTGCAGTTCATAATGCTAGTGTGTCTACATGCTTCTCTAATAATAATCTTTGTGACACTTCTGGGAGATGAAGATGGATTTATTGTCACATTTTGCAGCCCAGAAACAGAACTGCAAAACATTTTAATCAAAAGTTTCCATGGAATTGGGATTTCCATTCCATAACAATAAAGAACTGTTTTCTTCAGAGTTTGTAAATACATAACAGTACAATACATTATTGCTGCTGTAAGTGCTCACCATTTCATTAAATTATCAGGATATCAGGGAAAAAGATATTAAGGAACATTCATGTGGTAACCAATTATTAAGTCTGTTTGCTGTGACCTAGCATGTGACAACTCCTTCACATAAGCAGGAAGACCTGCAACATTTAGCTCATTTACCCTTGAAAAAGCTCTTGTTCTTTCTGCATTTTATGACACATTCGCAAATTTCAAAACAACTGAGAGAGGAATCCTACAGAAAGTAGCCTTATGTCTTGCGTAATCCTGATTCACCTCTCCAGCAAGTCCACTCTGTAACCTAACTGAGATACAGTTCCTGTGAGAATGTAATATTCAAATACATAACCACATATTGTATCACATTACAAGAGCAGAGTGGAATCAAATATAAGTTCTGTTTATCACACTAACTCTGACATACTGTAACCGTTAAAAGGTTGACTTTGAAAACACAATATGGACATTTTAATGCTTTTATGTATGTAAATTTCCTGTCTAGGAAAATAATCCTGTTTACAAGCAGAAACTCCATCATGTGATATTCTAACAGGATTAATCAAGAGGATTAGAATCTTTAGATCCACCACATAATCCTCTCCAATTCGAGCCGATACTTAAATCTCGAAACTGAAAGACGGTTGGGCAAATGGAACACTAGAGGTGGAGATGTTGCATAGAGTTCAGACCAACGGAAAACAGAGTGCTGACATCACAGTAAAATACATCTGAGAAAACAGCATATCATGCTTAAATAATATAACAATGCAGAAGTATTTGTTTAGTAATGACTTTCTATTTTGAGTATTGAAAAATAAGTTCTGTAAGGAACTTCTGTAAGGAGGTATAGTATTTGTTAATTACTGTGTGATTAACAACACATAATGTACCACACTAATATATGTGTGTGTGCGTAAAGACATACACAAAACTATGTCACAATCCTTATTCACAGAGAGACATCCTCTGTTTTGCTAGAGCAGTTGGAGTTGCTAGTAGTCAGCTGGCATAAGGGGAGTAAAAAGTTCCATGTTAAGTAGGAGACTAAGAATGATAAGAATATTTGACACTAAAATCATATTACACTAATTGGGTAAAAGAAATAATACATTTTATCAGAGTATACTTAAAACTATATTTATATAATGATCAAAATCTCTTGCATTGAAATCTTAGAATTCAGCATGTATCATTAACAAGTGTATGCCATCTAGTGGGCATCAGAAAAGTTTCCTCCCTATTCGGGATTTGCCGTGTACTCACTCTTTTCATTTGCAAAGTACAAGTAGCTAGGGAGATGAGGATCTGCAGTTGAAATTATCAGTGTCCCGATGCCAAAACAATACCTCTGAAGTCGTCTTTTCTGGAGTTCAGGTTATTTATGATGACCCTCTGTGCAAAGGTAAACTTACCCTTAACATAGCTCTAATCTCATGAAATAGGAAACTGCACACAAATACAACTCTGCTGTTACCTCATTCTTCTGTATAACCTTTGTTAGGAAAGCCTGTTACTGTACACATTTGTATTAATAATGTATATAAGAAAATCAGCGTGCCCAAACGAAGCTGGAATTAGAAGGGACTATTTAAAGAGTTAAGACTACCCAAGGAACAACTTTATTATTGCCTACTTCCAATCAAAGAAAAACTGCCATTGATATTCCCTAGAACTTTCCATATTGCTTCTGTTAAACTCAGATTGAATGAAGATTATAATTACTGATTAAAAAGATGTTGTATCAAATTTAGGAAACATTCTTTTATTTAAGTTTAGTCTAGAGATCTTAGTCTTATGAATAAGTAAAGAGAGTTTGAGTGCTGTATTTTAAGTGTTGTCTCCATTTGAATGCAATACCAGTTGAATACTGGCTGGTTATTCATCTTTATATTCCTTCTCTTCCTCATTCATTAACGTCAAATAAAATTTGGATAATTTCATTTATATCTTCAGAATCAAAGTTACAGTACAGATATGAGACAGTTATAACACATAAGTTGGCAGCCCTCTATATTTCTTTGAGTAGGACACAAATCACAGTCATCTAAATATTTGAGAAGACGTGGAGGGATCAAACTCTTATTCCTTTAGAGATCTTTGGAATACAACTAATATGTACTTAAATATACTCGATAAGATTTACAAATTCACCCAAGAAGTTTTTAGATGTATAACATCACTGCTTATTAAAAGCATTTACATTTCTAAGTCATTCAAGGGGTTTTGAAATTTTTACAAAGTACCAGTTAGGCTCGCAAATGTAGATGCAATCACATCAGTAGGAATCAATCTATAAGTTTATCCAGCAAGAGATTCAGGCTGAGGATTCAAAATACCTATGAAACCTGTAACATGCTGAAGAACTGTAGAGCAGGTCAGTTTTGTGTATTTGTAGACAAACTGTTTGAAATAAAATGTATTTTTTTATTCTTTGTGCTTATTTTATAGTGCCTTCAAAGCATGCCACCCCAAAATAAAAAGCTTCTACTTTGCAACAGACTGCCTTGAAGAAATGAATAGGTAAGTTATGTATTCTTTATCATGGTACTCCAATAATTGAAAATAATATCTTATGTCACATAGAAATGGACTCTTGGAGCATGATGTAATGCTGATTGATAGTGTTCTCAGCACAGTCCACTTAGTCGCCCCTTAATTTTTGTATATGTAGCATTACATTGTGTGGCTCATTTTATGTTCACTGAAATTTTCTGTAATGCCACATGGCATAATTCTGCAAAAGTGTGTTAGGAAAGTTAGTTGTGTTGGTCTCATCTACATTCATTAGAATTTTTGGGTTTTAATGGCCATAAAGTTTACCACACTTCTAATTTTTTGTTGATCAAGGCTAGGAAGATTAATGGGGGATAAGAGTTTCTGGTATATAAAAGCAATGCTGTCATGATTTAACCCCAGACAGTAACTAGGACCACGCAGCCTCTTGCTCGCTCCCCCCAGCTGGGATGGGGGAGAGAATCAGAACAGTAAACGTGAGAAAGAACTCATGGGTTGAGATAAAGACAGTTTAATAAGTAAAGCAAAAGCCGTGCACTCAAGCAAAGCAAAACAAGGAATTCATTCACAACTTCCCATTGTCAGGCAGGTGTTCAGCCATCTCCAGGAAAGCAGGGATCCATCACCTTTAATGATTACTTGGGAAGACAAATGCCATAACTGCAAGCATCCCCCCTTCCTCCTTCTTCCCCCAGCTTTATATACTGAGCATGACATCATTTAGCATGGAATATCCCTTTGGTCAGTTGGGGTCAGGTGTCCCAGCTGTGTTCCCTCTCAACTTCTTGTGCACCCCCAGCCTGTTCGCTGGGGGAGAAAAGACTGTGCTGGAGCAGAAAATGCCTTGACTGCTTAGCAACAACCAAAAACATTAGTGTTTTACCAATGCTATTTTCATCCCAAATCCAAAACAGCACTATACCAGCTGCTAATAAGAAAGTCAACCCTATCTCAGCTGAAGCCATGACAAACGCGTACATACGAAAGCTCATACTTAACAGTATACCCACATGATGGGATGAGATAGTTTTAACTTAGCCTAGCTGCTAATCCACAGTAATGTCACATGGCCTAAAGCCAGAGAACAGCAATCTGAAGTAATTTTTTTAACAGGAATGGGACAAAACTAATGACATGCATTTATTTTTCATGCCAGAATTTAAAAAAAAAAAATCAAAACAAAAAGAGACCAATCAAAACAAACAAAAACCCCACCAAAAGAACCCAACCCCCAACAACAACAAAAAAATCCAGTGATAATTCATTTTATTCACTGCATCACTGTCCTAACAAGGAACAGAGACTAGCAAAGTTCAGTTGTTGGCATTGCTGTGTGTTTTTAAATGTCCTTGGATGTGCTGGGAGGGCATTCAAAACTTGACTGGACAATGCCCTGAACAGCCTGATCCAACATTAAAGTTGGCCCTCCTGTGGGTGGAGTGTGGGAACAGACGACCTCCTGAGATCTCTTCTAACCTAAATTACTCTGTGCTTCTATTTTGTGATTCATTGATGAAGGCAGAGGTTAGGTAAAGGTGGGGAGGTACCTTTGATCCTCAAAGGCAGAGTCAAATGTTCTACCTCCTCCTGTTAGTTCAGTAATTTGTTTATTCCCAGCTGAGGTAAAAAGCAAGGACACATGGGACAATGTTACCATACTTTGAAGTCTTAAATCTGTCCTGGCATAGACTGCTAAAACTTTGAGATTTAGTTAGTTCTTTCTGTTCACAGACTTAGAATGACACAACTACCTCAGGATACAGCTGGACTTTTTCGTTTGGCATACTAATGTCTAAAAATTATTTTTAAATTGAACATTTATGTTCTCTGGCTTACATGGCCCTTCAAGAAATAGTGTATTGATGTCTAAGACTGGCTGTATTGAAGCATTTCAGGCCAGTTCATCATCCACGGATGATAATGATGATGATGAGGTTCAGTTCTCGGGAGCACCTCGGTGTGGCTAGCTGTCATTTTCAGGATATAAATTTGCTGAAAAATATTTTTTCCAGTGTTAACAATGTTCCATTGTTCAGTAATGTAACATGGCTGAGCTCTGTTTGGTCCAAAATTGACGTGAGGATCTTTTACTATGTTTAACTATGCATGGTTTCTCCCTTGATTTTAGCTACTTCGATAGCTATGATTTGTTGAAGGGTCATTGATCATATCTTCTGTTATACCGTAAAATGTTCTGACTCAAGGAAAACCAGGAAGTCTTGACATACATTCAATAAACTGCTTTTACAATATTCATTGATTTTTCTTCACTGGGGAGCCAACGAAGCTGTCTTTATGACAGTTTACAGCCTTCATGGAGAGTAACAGTTGGAAAGTTGCCAGGATGTATTTTCGTATCATACAGCCATGTTAGTTTGGAATTTGAGAGCCTTTTTCCTGACATTATGGGTCTGCTTCCCATAAGAAAAGACAAAGGGTAAACCTCCTCTTGAAGTATTTTTTGCAGTATTTTTCCTTCTGAAATGCTGTTCCTGTAGAGTAATTGTAATTCACTCCCCAGCGCAAATGATAGATTACTATGCTACCTCCATAAAATCCCTGGGCATCCCCTGCAGCCTTTACATGCTTTCTGGAATTCCTTCTCCCAGACATCCTGTGTGAAACCTGAAATGAGTAAGAAAGATTCATAGATGAAAAATGTACTTAAAATACTAATTTCACAAATCTCTGTCTTCCAGCAAATTGCTAAGCGTGTAATCTGAGGAAATAGGGCAAATAGACTGCATGGTATCTCACACTCCTGCTGTCACCACAAAAATTTAACTGGATTTTCTATGCTGACAGAAGGGTAGAGAAGGCTATGCTGAAAAGTAAAGGAGTTCTGATATGGAGAGGAACATAACATTTCTTTATTCACTATGTGGGGAACGTGTACCTTTTCTTCAACCGCGTTTACCACCAGCTTTTGTTTTAACAGCTGTTTTTTCAGTTTCTTGCTTCAGATTCACTGTTTAATATTTTTTTTCCACTCCAGAATATTTTGATCTGCTTTTAATACCGCGTTGCTGTTGAAAGAATTCTTTACCAATGTGTAGTAATTGATTTGTATGTAGCAGGTAGAGTTACTCTGTTGTAGCTGAATTTTGCCTGCTGTGTTGCATGGCGCAGACTTCGGTTTGAAAAATTGATGCTCATGCTGTTTTGTCAGGTCTTACATGAGCATAGTTGTGTTCTTAGAAATGAATTAATAATGAAATTGATGAGCTCATCTTTCGCTTGCCACAGTCACAGGATACTCCAAGCTTGTTAAAGGCCTTATTTCCCAGAAGTGCTTCATCTATTACCATACCATGAATAACCTGTTTATGGCTCTAATATTCCTAAGGAAATTAGCATTGAATTTAATATTCAGTTGTTTTACAACATCTACTTTATTTAAAACTTTCATGTGACTGAAGTATGCAGAGCAGTGCATTTACAATCTCCTCATGGACTCCAAATACTAAATTAAAAAAAGTTCCTATTTTAGGCTGAGTAATTTGATCACATTTGATTTGAATAACTCGGTTAACTTTGCAATTTTAATAACTCCCATAAATCTCTTGCATTCATTCAAAACATATAACAAATATCTGCTACCCGCTGAAACAGAATGATGATAGGTTTTGTAGGGGTCATTTCCAATATTTTCCAAGTAAATACCTGAAATATTCTAACGCAATATTTCTCTTAAAAAGAAACTGTTCAAAAATTGAAGTATTCTGAATTAAATCTCTGTTAATTATAAGCAAATTTCAGGGTGCCTATCCTCTGTATTTTTACATATGGAATATAATGAAGCAAGTTACTCAAGGTTTTCATTAAACCACCCTGTTGATTGCTGAAGTTCATTCAGCTCTCTTCCTTAAATTTGGGGCACGTTTCTCTCCTTGACAGATCTTGGCCAACTCAGATGGCGGGCCAGTATTAATGCATCTTTTACAGTTTTAATTTTCTTTCAATCTTCACTCACAAATAAGCTAACTCCTAGGAAAACATCTTGGCAGCTAAAAATTTCAGACATTAGCCCCTGTTAGACATTGTCTCTCTTAAACAAGAGCTCCTGGAGAAGTGAGCAGGAGAGTAATCATGTCAGATCTGTCTGTACTAATTTAACAGTTCTTTAAGAAATAGAGTCGAGTAAGTTATTAAAGAGCTCTTACTCCCTAGTCCCTTACCAGCTGAAAAGCAAGGAGATAATTCTGCAGAATATGAAAGGTACTTTTCAAATAGAAATCCCTGAAATGGAGCTTCCCAATGGTGTGGTAAGTAAACAAACAGCAGGTTTTCCCCTTCTTCCTTTATGTTCCTATACATTTATTTCAAATCCAGGAAAAATAGTCTGTGCCCCAGGCCACCTCAGTCCTCTAATTTATTGGTCTCACATAAAAGCTCATAAGTTGCAGCACAAGTAAAACAATTTTCTGATCAGAATTAGCTGCAGGACCCAGAGACTGGATGAAACTATGACGTATATGGGAGTGAACAGTGCAATAGTAGAGCTACAGTGCTCTGTCTGGGGAAAATACTACACCAGGAAGTACTATTACGGAGCTATAAGTCTTCAAAATCTCCTTTTTTTGGCTAGCCACCTAACTCCTCCTTTCTACAATTTATGGACTACTTGCCATAGACTTGTGAGCTACCATTTCCCTCTTAATAAGTTTTAAGAGCCATAGGCTTACAGCATTACACTAGAGGAGTTCAAAGCAGTTTGCAGTACACAATTGCAATTATCCAATATGCAATCCAAATTAACATTCAGGTGTGAATTTATCCCTAATGCACAGGAGTTAAGATTTGCATTGGCTTCCTGTACTAGTTTAAATTACAAAATTAACTTAATCAAATGCTGCTGTAAATAATACCATTGGGAATTGGTATAGTTCTTCTGGGACTCAAACAGTTCAACTGCATTTAACATAGCAGATTTTGTAATTACAGTACTGTACCTCCCAGTGATGAATGCACATGCATTACAGCCACATATTGTGGTGTTATACTGG